AATTCCTTATACATTAGAAAACTGTGTAGGATGACAAAATGTATTACTATTGACATTATTGTTTTCTACATATGGAATAAGACTTTAATATCGTTCGATTTACATTTAAAGCAAAGCATCAATCTCAAAGCGTGTTAATTATCGTTTTCAGGATAGTGTGTCCCCCGCTCGTCCTGTTAGCGGACCGAGTGCTGAGTGTGTCGTACACTGGTCGTGATAGTGACCGTCTGTCCGCGGCGTGTGTACTAGATGCGGCGGGCGCTGGTCGGTCTAGTGTACTCGCCTTGCTGGTGATGGTCATGTGTCAGCTGAGGGCCGGACATGTGCAGCTCTGTGGTGAGTTAACTGTGTGTGTGTGTGTGTGTGTGTGACTGTGTCTCCGTGTGTGTGTGATTCATTTATATCAATGTGGGCGTGAGTTAATTGTATGTGTGTGAGTTAGCTGTCTACTTGTGAAGTTATCCGTGTGAGTGTCAGGCAGATCTTCCATCTCTTTCTAACTGGCTAAAGGTATAAAACTTGCTAGCTAAATAACAAATATTTTGTTCTATTGTAATTCTAACATATTTTCTCCTTTTCTAATAGACATGTTAGAGGAGGGATGCGTCAAGCTCTACGAGAATCGTACGAATGTTCTAGAAGACACCAAATATTTGGCGGACGCGTACAGAACAGTGTTGTTCTACGTGCAAGGAGTTTTGTGTTCAGGTAACATTAATAACTTTTCAATAAATAAAATGACTGCAACTCATATATTGTGAGCTATTAATCATAAAACAACTAGCCAAACAATTATGGTCTATTCAAATTTTCAAAAGATATTATATTACATATGTATATTTTGGTTTATGCTTTTATCCAGGGACAACAATGTTCAACGGGGAAGCTATAACCACAACGACTGGAGCGTCATTCCTCCCCCCCGTGCCAGCTGTTCCTCCCTCCCCTTCCCCCTCCACCCCTTCCCTCACCTCCGGCAAGACCAAGTTCTCGAGGGAATCTTTTGAGGAAATGAAACAACTACCCGGCCTCAAGAGCGGTGATATGAAAGACCCTCTGAATTTCCTTGACCCGCTGTGGAGTCTCAAGAAGAAATAGCATTGGCAGCTGCTTTGATCAACTATAATCATATTATAGTTGGCCTTATAGAAATGTAAATTATTATCAGAAAAGATTTGAACGAGGAGCTTGCGTCTTGATTTGTAATACAAAAACACTTTTAACATAGCCTCTTATAATATTGTATAATTAATATTTATTACATTCCGGTTCGTTCTTTAAATCACGAAGTCTGATTAAAAATTTAAAATACCATAAATGTATACCGTAAAAATAAACATTACGAGCCGACTGAGGAAACCGACGATAAGTATATGAAAAATTTCAATAAGGAATTATTGGTTGAACTTCTTAAAAATTCCTCTAACCGATTGTATTAATAAACTTATTCCTCTTCCGTACACCTCCCTTATTTCTCCCCCCCCCCTAGATCCGTTAGCAGCCAGCACGATAGTATTAATTGATCATAATATAATAACAACATTCCATCAAATAAACCTTAACGCGATAGCAATAAAGTCGTTTTTAGAACTAAACAACAAGGCACCTTCGAATGTTCTAACTTTATATGAAATAATGAAATGTATTCGTTATATTATTTAAAAGTATTTAAACAGCTTAAGCTATTTTTAGTATATTTAATGTTTTTCATGATTATTCTAGCTTAGGACTCATTGAAGTATTTTAAAAATAGGACCTTTTGAAGATAACGGTGGAGAGTTTTTTGATATTTAAATATGGAGACTGCTAAGTATAAAAGCTGTATTGAATTATAGTGTAATAAATAATTACAAAAAGTCTGTGTTTTATTTTATTTTAGTATTTTATTTGGTATGGCGGTTGGGGTAAGTAAAATTATACGTAATACGAATATGACTGAAAAGTAAATAATGATCGTCCGAGCTTTTAACGAAATGCCGTTATGTATATTTGCAAAACATACAAGAACACTTAACATGACCAATATTAATTAAGTATATCAAGAATGAATATTTTTAGTATGAATATTAGTATGAATATTATATTTAGTATGAATAAGGAGCTTACATTATACAATAATTTGACGTCTCTAAATATTTGGCTAAGTAAATAGTAAGTATGGATATTAAGCCATTGCTTTAATATGATAAATCAGAAGATTATCTTTTGTTTCCTAAAGTCTATTTTCTATTGTCCTTGTTTCCCAATACTTTTTGTATCGCTATTGGTGACAATGTACCTCTAATAGTAGGTAGGATCACTTTTGGTTTTAGTATTCACAGATATGTTTTTTCTTCTGTGCAAGGGTTATAAAAATTGTAAACATCTTTTCAGCCTCCATTGTGCTAAATATAAAGATTACTTTTAGAATAATTATTGTTTAATATACATTGTCAGAATACCATACATAATGGAATAATAATTCAAATGAATCTAAAAGCTGCTAATATCTTAATAAGCCTGATTATGTTATTCCTTGCCTAGACATAACTAACAGCTGTCACTGCAAATAATAAAATGAAATTAAGGCTGTGTCACTTGCCTAACATGCGGTTTTATATATGTATTTTTAATGTGTATTGTTTTAAATTGTATATGTATATACATATATGTTACGTTACGTTTTATTTTTATATTTAGTATGTTATAGAATTTAAAATATATCTGTACTTATTACCGCTTTTTTATATGTTACGAGATGGGTTCATCCACTGTGAACTTCATTCAGTTTCAATTTCATCTTCTGGGCATAAATACTTAAAAAAAATAATACACTCTCACCTTAATCGGGTTTTCTGAATTATATTTCCAACAATATGAACCAGACATACAATTGCAATATATGTAGAGTTTTAAGAACAATTCCTTTTCAACATCTGCATAAAACTTTTGTTACGACAAAAAATATCGTAAGTATTCAAAAATTATAAAAGTTGAATATTTGGGACGAAAAGACGTTTCTCGAAGTTGGAGACACGATTCAGGCCTTCGAGCATCGTACTTAGTTCCTCCATCGACTTTGCCATGACTACGATATCGTCGGCAAACCGAAGGCAAAACTGAGAATGCTAGCATAAAACTAGAGAGTTTTCTGTATAAAGTTTGCAGGTGTGTTTTTTTTATTAATTTTTGTGAGCGTTAACATTTTCAGGAAAGATTCCATTCGATACTGTTATATACAAAGACTTATAAATGAATAACATTCAATAAATGCTCGCACTAAGCATACTGCATAACATCACCGCGCTTTTAACAATTACTTAAATATAACAGATATTATAGAGATACAACATAATTTTTTAATTTATCAATTTCAAACTCATATTAATTCTATGTTATTTGTCATCGGTACATTTTTTTATTTATTAATTACCTTTTTAATTAAAGTAGAAGAAAACAGAGCGAGTAAATTACTTGAATGAAATTGCGACTCTTAATTGAATAAGACAGCTGATGTATTTAGTTGAACTATTGCAGACTTTATCTACCGTTATAAAACGCAGCTTGACTTGTACCACCTAGGAACAAATTATATTATCTTTAACCAATAATTGATGTGAGGCTTAAAATTTATTAGCTTTGATATTGGTATTTTGTCATTTAGTTTTATTATAGCAGTTTCTTATACTCGTTAAATATATGTATATTTTATATTAAGTATTACGTAATTTATTACCTAATGTTTATTTCTTTATAGACTTAAAATATATAAAGAGTTGGCTTTATTTGAGAGAATTCAGGGCTGGATGTGTGGTTTCGAATTTCGAAACAAATAAACTGAAATAACTTTTTTTAATATTTGGAAATAATTATAGAGCAAATATATGATATAATTCTTGCTATGAGAATTTTTTGTTTTCTAGTTTCTAGTGTTAATTTTAAGGGTATTAGGATTAGAAAACCTTTTCCCTGGATGAAATTATTTTATCAATTTTTTTACATAATTAATTCATTACAAAACAAAAACTAAAATTAGTGCATTTTATTTAATAAGCTAATTGCTTATTATACGTCATAAATTAATATTTGTTTCTAGATTCGTCACCAGGCATAGTTAGCCTCAATAAATATACCCAAATGTAATTAAAATATATATTTTAAGACTTATTAAAACCATTTAAAAATAAAATATAATATAATATTATGCAACAAAAAAAAATTGTACGTACTTTTCTACTTTTTAATAATAATTATGTTAAATATATAGGTAAACGATTTATATAATTAACTTTTCAAGTATAAGAATATTAAATTTTTTAAAAAGTATATTGTCTATTTATTTATAAATAGACGACACATTCAGCATATTAGTCTCTTTTATGTTTGAAGTTACTCTTTAAAATAATGTAAAAATTATGTTTGCATAATTTGCATTTTTCCGTATTGAACATCAATAGTTTAATTTTTATTCAAAAGTAAATAATATCTTACTTTGAAATAGAGAGAGCGATTTGGTTTTCTTTACAAACTTTTTCTAAATAAAATATATTTATTAAATAATAACGAAAGGCCAGCAAATTATTATTCCGCTCATCGCTAGTCGTCTGAAGCTTCAGCAAGCTAAACTCGCTTGGTAGTACAGCACCGACTGTCGTTGGTCAGTACTGAGTTCTCAGTAGTTCGGCTCGAACCGCCGATAAGAACGCATGCGAGTGTATTAGTTCGCTGTGAAACCGCGCACGCGCTCTCGCGATCACAACGCACTAACACGACGAAAACAGTTGGAAAAATTATCACACCACCCTCTTTACTGAACGCAACAGTGACAGTGACGTTTCGGGGGATGTGACAGAACACGCCTTTTATTATGATTGTGTACATTTTGTGAAATTTTCAGTGCTGAAATATATTGAACAAGGTAAACCCATTGACCGTTAAATTCTGTGACATAAATAGTGTTTGTGAACTGTGTTTGTTATACGTGATAGAAATGAGAATGGGTCATAGTGCTGGGTAGCGTGATGATGCGAAAGGAAGCTGCCGGTTCGCCCGGCGGGACTGATATCGCCTTGAACTCAGCCGACTGCCTTAATTTACAGCAAATACTTCAGGCTTTTAACTCTAATATAAGTGAAGAGCATGCTTGGGCGTTATTTTACCAAGCTTCAAAGTGTTACCAGAAATGTTTGGACGAAGGGACTGCATATTACCTGCCTACTGAGCTAGGGCATGTTTTGCTTCATAAAGATGGTACCGTGCACCCAGGCACGCTGATGTATATAAGAGGTAAGTTACATATATAATATGTGGTTAAGTGAATACGACTTGTATTACATCGAATATTTCATACAAAATATAATAAAATCCTATTCACAGATAAGTAGTTAAGGCATTTGCTTTAGGTACTTAATGAATAGGTAATTATGTTTTATTTACATTGCCTTCTAAAAATTGTTTTTAAGCTACTAATTATTCTAATGAACCATAAATAATGCACATAAACAAAGTTGAAAATTATATAATAATGAAACGTTAAAATGTTTACACATCCACAGTTATATTTACTTCTACTGAATGTTAAATAATAACATCTCGTTTTGAATTCGCTGTATAATGACAAGTAATTCGTTTTGATAAATATTTAATATAAACACTTGTATTACAAACACACAAAGTATAATCATATGTGGTCTCTAATCTGAAATATAATTTTATTATTGATTGATTATGTTAATATTTTATTATGATGAAATAAAATATATATGGCGTTGTTTAGTTTTCGTATTGAAATTTTCGCGTTTCGTATAACTACAACTGAACGTACCTAAATGGCGGTAGTAATGACCTTGCGATTTGTTATCTTAGGTTTTGCTTTTAAAAAATATGCTCTCTTATCACACTATTAGCATTACTAATTCGAAGTGACGGGGTAATCGATTTTTAATTTCAACAAAATATAGACTAGAAATACGTCAAGCTTTACCCGTCGGTGATATTTACATAATTATTATATTTTATATAATTATGATTTCTTTATACATATAGATAAGAAATTATTCCTATCGTAATTTTCACCTCTATTTATAGCTGTTATGAGTACGTATTCAGATATAATATCTGCTAATGGCGATTTAAAATAATGTCATATAAAAAAATAAATTAGATATTTACATATAAAAAAATAAATTAGGTATTTTTAATTGATTTGATGTTTTAATTCTTAAAACAAATGAATAATCGTATAACTTGGATATAAAATTGTCAGTTACATAACCTTTTTCTTAAATGAAAAACATCCGAATTTATGATAATTATGTTTCAAATTTTAATGATTATACGTAAAACCGTTTGTTTTAAATATAATAATATAAAACAGGTTAGATTTTCAAATTGTCTTATCAAGTACGTTCAAGACGCCTGTTAGTCTAGGAAGTGAATTGATATCTTTGTATCTCAACTGTATAAAGAATTTACTGTTTTTTTAAGATACGCAATTGCTATTTACTTGAAGACGTTCAGTTTAAGTTATTTTTAATAATAATATCAATTAATTTGTTGTATCGTGTGTTGCCAGTTACAAGAATATTTCTATGTATCTAGGCGGCACAGATCTCTGTCAACGCCGCCGTCATTATTTACGTATGCAATTTGACCGGACCAACATCTTTATATGCATTTTATTGTGTGCTGACCTATTTCGTGTATAAATGAATTTATTAACCGTCCGCCTCGTATACTTTGATGTGTTTCTAATACACTGATTTGCATCACTTATGATACAATATGTTTTTCCACACTCTTCCATTACCTCAATGATCGTGTATTTTGTAGTTTTACGTATATTATAATCATTTGTTTATACTTTGATTTATTCTTTATTATAATAAATTGGCTTATTAAGACATAAATGTATGTCCCGCCATAAAAACCAGTAATTTTAAACATGTTAATTTATTACAAAAACCAGAGGTGAAGAAGTACCATATATTACTGATATATCAAATGTTTTTGATTATAATGTTATTATTCAATGAGAATAAACTTGTAATGAGATCGATCTAAATCCGTGTACAATGGCTTCTTTCCCTTCTCAACTGTTAACACGAACACATAATACAAAACATAACTCTCTTTTTATCAGCTCCCCAGTCGGGTAAAGACTAGTTAGCGACCCGCTTTTTAATATCTCTTCCGTCGTTTTTTATCCGTGTTATATACTGTTTCCCACGTAGGAACATCTCATTATTGCTGAGGAATTATCTTTCATTCTGTATAACTTTTTTTCTAAACTACCTAGTTACGAAACTGATGTATACATAAAAATATTTGTATTGGAAATTTAAAAAGAATATTTAAGAATACAAACCTTTAAAACGACGAATAACGACATTATACTTAAACCAAGATATAGTTAGACGAAGATTTTGATAAAAGTTATATTTTTAGTAAGTAATCGTAATATGCCAAAAGAAGATGAATGAATAGTGTATTAAATAAATAAAAGAAAACCTTCTAATCTACATAATTAATTATATACAATTATATCTACTCAACAATGTTTCCATGGAGATGAGGCCTCACTACGCCTTATTGTTCACATCTTCAATCCAGATTTCTCTCCGATGACAGCGAAACTTCCACTGTTCCGGAAAAAAAATCACAATGGTAGATATTTTTAGGTACGTAACAAGTAGCTTGAATTAAACTCGAGTTAATAAAATAATATGTCCTATATACATATATGAACTCAGCCACATACATATATAAGTTTCTGGTTTTAGTTTTCTAGAACGTTCTAAATAAAATCGATTTGCATAAGAATTTCTTTGGCGGGCCATCGATAAATAAAATTGGCTTTGAAGAATCGGTTTCCCTTCGTATAAACGTGGGGGACAATGGGCTAGTTCTTGGTGTATATTTAAAATTTAAACCAGTTATAGATGAATGGTGTGTACGGTTACAATCTTACCTGTCGATCGTCAATGGACTTCCTAGAAGTGATGAGGAGCCTGCAGGTAGAGAGAGCTACCAAAAGAAATACGTTTAGAGCATTATATCAGAAGAATTTCTTTTCAAAAGGTTACTTAATTGATATATTTATATAAATATCAATAATATTAGGTGTAAGTGAGTTACAAATGCAAAAAAAGTCAATATAACATTCTTCAGGTCATAAAAAATTCATTAGAGAATTTTTTTCTTAATCAGCATCATTCAGCTTCTTGTTGAAAAATAATTATAATATTATTATTGTTCTCCGTTTCGAGAACAACAAGCACAAAATTAAGGCTTTTGAATAGCAATAGCAGTCACAAAATTAAGCTTTTGTTTCCAGTTTCCTTTGTTAAGTAATCCCAAATGTTTATTTAAGTAATCGCTTTTAAGAAGTTTGAATGAAATTTTGACTCTAATTACAATTTGTTTTAGCCTGCTTATGTTTGTTTTCGTCTATAACAAAGTAAAAAGGGCAGATTTATTGAAACAAAACGTTACCTTAAACTATTTAAATAACTTATTGCATTGTAAATGGCCCTTGAACACTGGCCGTCCATAAATAAACAGTATGTGGGCGTCATGCTGGCTGGGTAAGGGTGGGTCCTTGCTGGCTCAAGGTCGCTCGATCGATATCCTCGCGGAGGCTACATCGTTACTCTAGTGACGTCACATCCGGCAGATAACTACTGCATTTCCTGCAACAGGTTTACGATAGCAGTGATGCATATCCACTGTAGTTTCATGAGACTGTCTATTGGTTTGGTTTATGTCAAACACTAGATACATTCACATTTATATGGACTTTCTATGAACAATGGATATAAAATTTTATAACACAAACTATTAAATATCGAATGGTAATAATAATTTTGTATTAAATATTGCCAATAATTTTTACTAGAATACACCTTGCTGTTCTATTAAATTTATTAGCAGACGTCCATCGACATTCGTTAATAATGTATAATAACAGGCAGATGGTAACTGTATGCATTTGACGAGATACTTAACGTTTTATCGTATACGTAAAGGTGGCAAATAACTGACGACCGGCTCCAGTGCTCTTCCTATCATGCGAAATGTGTTCAGCTCGTGCCATAGATGCCAAGTATGGACAGGAATTCCAATATGTACGTTTCTTTGAATAAGTTACCAAGTTTATTTCCAGTTGTCATGCCCGTTTTGTTTTAATTCTAAATTTAGATCTAAGTCGTAACTATAATTGTACTTTTATTTATATAAAGTGTTCCCTTGGCACAATTTCATTTAAACCGACTGTTGTCAACACGGAATGAGGGAGGGTTCTTTTTAATCTGGTTTACTTCAATGATACAAATTTAATTTTGTGATATAAATGATTATAATAGGCAAGTAAAAGTTAATGTAAATGATGTATTTTTGTTCATATTGGTTAATATGCTTAGCCTTAATAGTATTTAATTACCAGATTTCGAGTGATCATTTGAAGGTTTAAAAGGGGTTTATTTTAAAAGAATTATCCATAATTTGTTGATTTTTTTGTAGATTTATAATAGTTTGAAATTATGAAACATTTTTTTGTTATTCCGAATTTGTTACATCTTTTCGTAACACTCCAATTAAATACGAAAGACATTTTTTTTGTAATTTTATTTGTTTCCAAACTACATATTATTTGAAATATTAATTCGACATTAATCAAGGTTCGTTCACATAGCGAGCGATAACTCACAAGCGATATATTAATTTGTATGACCGATGACGTATACTCCGTTTCATACATAAGTTATCATGTTATAATGAAAATTCGACCTTTGTATTAGATAAGATTGCGAATTATTAATAAATTATAAAGAAAACAAATCGCTTCAAAATTTTTGATTATAATTATCATTTTAAGTCATATCTTTTAACATTGTTTCATTGTCAGCGACCACTTATTACATATAAGTGTCAATGAAAAATACTGACTACAAGAGCGAATAGAATCTTCAATGTTTCTATTGAATGGAGATGCTTTAGATAAACATATAAGAAGACATTTACCCACGTCATTGTACGATGAGATTATAAAGTAATCTGAAAAATATAAATAAAAAAAATATATATTTAATTGAGAGACAGAATAAATTCACAATTATATTATACATGTGTGTGAATATATTTATATAATAACTTGTTTTATATTTTTTGCATCCATTAATGTTCTATTTATATATTTTTTTATCTTGTGTCAAGGAATTTTATATAGAAAGGAAAATTTTGCCAACATCTTAATAATTCTGCAGATAGTTTTTTTAATATAATATGCCTCCTATAAATTCGTGTAACTTTAAAACATACATTTAAAATATTAATTATATTTTCTTTTAGCTTGCAGTCGTTTTGTTTTCATATAAGTTGATCGATCGTTGTTATTATATCGTAAATGTATTATATTGTCCGTAACAGGTTCCGTAACCTGTAGATCAGCCGGACGTTATGTAATAATATGCTCACCGAATAATGAGACTACAAATTTATGACCCGCAGTGTTCGTCTCAATTATGAGCTTTGAATTGATGAGTAATGACGTCTACAATAATAAAATATTACGAGGATTCTCACAAAAAACTATATATATTTAGCTCATTTTTTTATATAATGTGGTACTAAGTTCCGTACAAAATAATGCAAAATTTGATTACACTCCCACGATAAAACGAAATCATTTTCTTCAATGTCATGCGCAAACTGTAACAAGGAATTGTAAGTAATCTGAGCGTTCTTATCAATAATTCTGCATATCAGATAAAATTTTCTTTGGACTTCTCATTGGATGAGATAAATTTATTGTTCCGACATATAAGTATTATCATCGAAGAAAATCTTACATGTGTTACGTATAAAGGAATCTATTAATACATGTTTGAATGATATACAATTTGATTAGCATGTATTTTTTACTGAAAACAACATTGAGGTAATTATAATAAATCTTTGCATACGATAATATCGACATAAATATACGAATGGAAACTGGAAAGGGTCAATTGGAATAAACTATAGAAAAATGTGGAAAGAGTACAGACTTTTTCTGTCAATTACAACTCAAATATAATGACGTTTTATTATTTTACCGGACTAGTGACGTCGTATTGTGAAATATCGTTCACACTAGATCATCTTATAAATTATGTCATCAATCAAATCACCTTTCGCTGCTATAACAAGTCAATAGTCCTCTCTCTTTCGACATAAGGTCGACTTTCTACGAAATACAATATATATAGGAAAATTTTCTCATAATTGGTGTGTATGTAGAGGAATGGTAACAATGAATATTGAGTAGTATTGCGTAAACATTTTAAGCGTTGAAGAATGTTGGTAACACTTATCTTAATCAGTGGTAAATTTACCTCCGGGTTTGTTATAATTTTAAAATGTAACCTGTTTTTATTGGATGATAATTTGGATGTTTCGTAAGGTGTGCATCTAGCTGCATGTGTGTCGGCTCTCGTTGCACCATCGACAACGATATTTATCTTACTTTCTTAATGTAAACATCTTAATAGTTATTCGTGGGAACATTTTAGTTGAGTCATTTGTTACTTTTATTATAATTATATTTAATGATATGTGGACTTTTAGGTTTCGTTATGCCATGCTATAGTGTGCTTCTAATGCTTTTATTCTGTATGTTATTAGTAGCCTCGGTTGTGAAATCGATGCTCCACCTTCTAAGATGTTTCATTTATATGAAACATTCAACTTTTTTAGTTCATATTTGTATCCAAATTATTCGCTACAGTTATTTATGTATTTTATTTGTTGAGATAAAAAAATTGGAATAAAAAAGTACTCAAAATCATCTAGATTTGTTTAGTTGCTATAAAAACATTTTTATCTCATATTAAGAAGAGATCTTGTAGTGATAAATCTGAATTGATTTCCTGATATTATCATAGCTAAAGTTGACACTTTGTAAATCTCTCATGATTTATCCTTTATGAAATTATCTTTGACGAAGGTCGAAGAAATGTTTCCATTCCCTACATTTACTTAATGATTGCACAATGAATGCTTTTGATGTTTAAATCGTTTGTTTTGATACAAATGTGTGAGTGTATATGAGAAAGCCTATATTTTATGTATCCTTGATACTTCGGTGTCATATTTAACTATTCACTGACACATGACATGCGACCTTGAACGGCGTCGGCGTATGCGCACGCGCAGCTCTGTATGTTAGACATTGCACGACGAATTAATTCTAACCTATGTACACATGTATTACTAATTAGTGTGAAAGAAACGATATTGGATTGAATACTGTATGTTTCAAAAGAAGTAATATTATTTAATAGCAAAAGTTTTCATAGAAATGGTTTAATTTTTTATAAAATTGTTTAGATGTAATGTAATCTTTTGACGTCGCCCAAATTATTGGGAAGAGTTTTTTTCCAATGCATAAAACATTTGTTCTTCGTGGATAAAATTTTATAACAAACTATAATATAATTAAAAACTATCAAATCCAAAAAAAAACTATTAAGATTTTTGAACATGAAGATAATAATTAATACAGACAAATAAAGTCTCCGTTTTAACGAAGTTTGTTGAAATTATTGTTTATTATTATTATTATGATTATTATATATATAAATATGTATGAGAAATATACTTCGAGTCATGGTAAACTATTGTAAAATGTATGATTTTATTATGAAAGAAGTTTATTTTTGAACATAAGTCACATTTTGTATTCCAGATAATCATGCTTTAATTATAGAGGCATACTTCAATAATTTATTACTAAAGCCTTCATGAGCTGAAGCTGATGCTTCCGAGCAGTCAGAAGTCCAAGGGAGTCATGATTCAGAGCATTACAATAGACTGCTCTCTCCTAACTGGGGCGTAGGATTGCGGCCTTGGTTCGGCGGACGGTGGGTGGACGCTTTGACATTTGATATGCTTCACACGTTTATTTGATCTCGGATGACGGCTTTTTTGTATATAAATTTACATAATATCATAGATATGTCGCTATTTTATGGTAAAAAGAATAGTCTTATCATTTAGAATCGTTTTATT